TCAGAGGGATGTTATAATCATATCCTTGATGAACAGTATACACTTTTAAAAACATGTAGGGTCCAATAAAACTATTTAATTTATTATTGTTATTATTATTATTACTAATTATTATTATTATTATTGTTGTTGCTATTATTACTATTATTATTATTAGTAGTAATGTATTGAATTTTCCTTAATTAAATTAATGGAGTAAATCTATTTATTTCCGTTTTCGAGTGTCAGCGCAAGGTCCAAATTCTCTTAGCGCCCCAATCCTGTCCTGACCTTGAATGCCTCAGCTGGCTTCTCCTGCATCCTCTCCTTGGGTTTGAGTGCTGTGGGGGGGGCAGTGTTTGCCCTCACTAAGTGTCTGCCACTTTGCCCTGCTGGCGTTGACGTGTCTTAGGGCCTCTCCGGTGCCCTTAAAGGGTTCGAGTGCTGTGGGGCAATTCTTTACCATTTTGTTAAGTGAACGTCACTTTGTCCCACTGACGCTCTGGTGTCAGCTGACTCCTCGTTGGCCCCCTGACAGGTATTCGCTGCTTCTGCTCCATAAAGACAGATTCTCCTTCCATTTCCAAACGTACACGTACTCCGCTCTCCTTACCTGCGTCATCTGGGTGGCCGTGGAAGCTCCCGAAGGCCAAGAGAATCGAAGTGAATAAGTAAAACGAGCAGTAAAACACAGTAAGACGTAAAAGAGGAAGAAATGTAATGCTCCGTGTTTTAGGCTCCACCCAGCCTCTCAGGTTGAGTCAGTATTAAAATGTCAGCCCCCCCCCCCCACTGCTCTCCAAAATGAGGCTTTCTGAAAATCCATTCGGCACACTCGGACAAGTCGAGGGGCAGGTTACAGCCGCCAGGTTACGGGAGGTGTTTGGCTCTCCACCCCCTGTGTGTGTGTGTGTGTGTGTGTGTGTGTGTGAGCGCGCGCGTGTGTCATCCGGCAGAGCGAGCCGTGTGCTTTTCCGACGCAGGAGCTCTGAGCGGAGCGGGAGCCTCCCAGGTATAATGCACCTGCCCCCGCATATGCCGCCCCACGGCTGGATCTCTGGAGAAGGTACGTCTCTCACCAAGCCGAGGTGGTCTGGTCTGGATGCCTCCGTCTCTCGGCACGGACGTAGCGTTAGTGCTCTCTTGTATTTTTTACGTAAACCTCTGTTATGCAGTTATCTGACTTTAAAATGGCGATAATTACCCCGAATTACACCTAGCTTTCGAAACTGTTATTGCTCGCTGTCTTTAAGCGTTTTAGAGGCAGAAGCTTAAAATATAATTAAATTAAATAAGCTTGCAGCGCTCGAACTGGGGTTCATGGCTGTGTCATTACTTATTTGATAAATGCAGGCAAATACAAAGATGAGACCTCCAGTGCCCTTTGACCTCTCTGTTGAATGCAGGTGATTGGCTGACCAGGAAATCCTCAGTCACATAGTTTGTTTGGTGTCTTTACATTTTGCCTAGATGGCTTTAGGGAGTTATTTTGACTTAGACATAACTGCTCCTTAGTATGGCAGTTTATTTGTATTAAAATCATGTAAAATATGATTGTGTGTCCATTTTAATTGCCATATTTGTGAAATAGTGTAGATGAAGAAGGTCTTTGTGGCGATGTGTCTGTTAGAGGTAGTATTAAGCAGAGAGGAAACGTAGGAATTTTTTTTGGGAAAAGGAGATTGCGGGTTTGTCACAGGTTTGTCACAGGTTGTTCAATGTCACGTTGGCATGAATCCGAGCCTTTGTCTCCCCCTGGTTTTGCAGATTGCTCCTTATCAGCTGCATGCCGTTTTCGGTACTATGCTGAGTGCAGCTCTGGGGACAGTGACGTGTCTCCTTCACCATGTCCCTTTGCTCCTGCCACCGCTGTCGTTTTCATTTGTAACTGGGGGCGCGGAATAAACGTCTGTTCAAGAATGTCCTTAAAACAAAACTTTTTAAAGAGATCTGATGTCGTTCTCATTTTTGTTAGGGTTTTATAATTCGTGCTTTTTGCCGCAGAGTGGTGTGAATGAAAGATGAATTTGCTAATTGTCTGTTTTTTTTAGCAAGTTCCTGGAAACATGCCAGGAGTATATACTGCTTACGTCATAAGGGGCGTAACCGAAAAGCCAAAGAAAATGGGGGATATGCACTTTTCTTTTTACCTACTTAAATCTTCAGTATAAAGTAAAGGTACTTGCTTTTCACCTTAGCTGGTAATGATGCATTCTAGAATCTTCTAAACCTCTGGTCCACATAAGTCCCTGCTGGTCCCTACTGCCGTGAATCTCCATTGCGCTGCACGGTCTCGTCACGGATCCTTCCGGCTCTTTCTGCTGCAAACCCGTGTGCCGTAAGCTGGTGAGGGAGGCTTTGATTTCGGCGGCCCTGCGTTAATCATCCACCCGGCAGCGCTGCGGCCACTAATCCGTACCAGGCACACATTAGCGTGAAGGTCAGCGTGTTCTCGGGAAGGCGGGCACAGCCGGCCGGCCTGGGGATGAGTAAACCATGCCTGCGTGTCCGCATGCCTCTTGAAACAGCCAATCAGGAATGACCGTGTGACGCATCTCAGCTGTTGCTCTGTGGAGTAGAACGCAGGCCCACGAGGTTCCCGGATGCAAACGTCTGTCCGCGGCGCTCCGCGACCTCCAGCCGCCTGTCCCAGAGCCATTCCGGAAGCCAAGTGAGGTCGAGAGCCCAGAATGTTCTCTGCCAGGACTCGACCTGCTGCTGTGGGTCATACTTCTTCGTCGTTAGAATTAGAATTTGGTGATCGGTGGTCATTGTTGACACACCACAGCACACAGTGCACAAACAACGAAATGTGTCCTCTGCATTTAACCCATATGTGACAATGTGACATAGCAGGGGGCAGCTAATTCAGCGCCCGGGGAGCAGTGCTTGGGGGCGGTACCTTGCTCAGGGTACCTCAGTGGTGCCTTGCTGGTCGGGGATTCGGACCAGCAAGCTTTCGATTACAAGTGCGCTTCCCTGACCATTAAGCCACCACTGCCCTCATAGTTAGTTCTCTGTCCCGGCTGTGTGTCCCGAACAAAGGATATTTTGCTGCTGCTTTTAATCTGCATTGACTTGACCTGAACGTTTAACTTGCTATGATGTGAAACATCAACAAATCATTTTCTGTTTTCTTTTAGGTTATTACTGTTGTCATTAACAAACTGGAAATCACTGCCGCTGCCATATCATGCCGTGTCTGAATCGGGGGGGTCGGATGCTGGTGGAGGCTGAATGAGAGAATAAGGACTCAGGGACAGCACACTGAGAGAAATTCTCAGTATTAAATGCACTTGGGGGAATATTTGTTTGCTTGTTTGGTCTCTGGCCTGCCTTCATCATTATCACTCATGTCAGGCAATTTAGACACTTGTTGACCTGAACTGTAGACTTGAAGGGACAGAATCAAGCAAGCAGTAAGACTTTGGTATCTTATTACTGACGTTTCTCACTTCAGGTCTTTGAGGGAAAGTGTTCACCCGTGGGATTTAATGCAGTCCCCCCGATGTGATAAAAATGGGATATTTTAATGTCTTGGGTTGGCCTCTAACCCACAGCGACGTCGGAAAGGCCGGCTGTCGTCCTCTGGTCACTCCGAAGGCCTCGTCGCCTTTCGGGAGCAGGGATTACCGAGGAGGGATGGAGGGATATCGGATCACAGGCAGCTTCCCGTTGGCATGGCGCCGTCGCCTGGCAACGCGGCTGCTTTATCATAACCCCCCCCCCACACACACACTTTGCCAAAGTCCAGCTGGCCTTTCAGCCTAATGACAGCCTCCTCCTATCCATATATTCATCTGACGGGGGCATTAATTCTGGGGGCATCTGCGTTACCATAATCTGTAGGAAGTCTTTTTTTCAAATATAAACCACCTGTGGTTTTATGTAACTCCCAGGTTTTATAAATCAGACCTGGTGTTTCTCGCCTGTCTGCGCTGGGGGAGCAGTGGTCTGTACGCTGTGGTCAGTGGCTGTTTAGTCAGCTGACTGCTTGGTGGATCTGGTTTGCCACTGGTCACATGACCTCGGCAACTTTTTTTTTGTTTTTGTTGTTTGCGCCTGTGCGTGTTCTGGGGCAGTAAGACGGGTCAAGGCCGAAAGAAACGCAGCACAGAGCAGCAAAATAAGGCTATAAAAGCAGTAATAACTGATAAACTGGAGCCACGCGAGGAAATATGCTCACTCTGAGTTTTTTTTTATGGATGGTGCTTCACACTTGCTGGCAATTGCGTGGCATGTGAACAGAAAGACACGTAGGTGCATTTAGATTAATTATTAACCCAGCTGGAAGGTGGAGCCCTTCTGGGTGGGAACTGGGTGGGGGATTCAGTAACCTTTATTATACCAGAGATTAAGGGCTTTCCTGATGAGGCACCATGATTTGTGTGCATTGCTACGAAGAAGCTTAACTGCAAAAATGCCATCTTATCTCACTGTTATAGTGTCTTGTCAATTGATTGTAAAATCTGGCTTTTTCCTCTACGGTCTCTCATGTGGGTTGTGTGTTTTCCAAACTATCCATCCATCCATATTCAGTAACCACTTGTCCTAATCACTGTTGCGGGGGGTCTGGAGCCTGTCCCGGAGGCTACGGGTGCAAGGCAGGGAACATCCCAGAATGGGACACCAAGCCATTGCATTATGAATTAAAAAGATAACATTGGGTTATAGTTCACATAAAATGTGTTAAACATCTTCCAAAATATTTGTATGTCATGAAATTGATCTTAAACATAGTTTAAGTGTTATATATTATATATTATAAACATGTCCATACCTACCACTGAGGACACCAAGGTCCTCAGAATTTTTTTTGGCAACTCCAATAACCACAATCCATTACGGGGCACACCTAGGAAGGTCTAACACGTTTGGTATTTAAAAAATCCTGGCTACAGCTCTGATTGTAAAGTATAAATGGAATCTTATGCATGTCCGTGACACTCACAGTCATTATGGTGTATGTAGAACTTTATCGTCCATGTTCTAACTGTCATCTGCTTGAATAACTTCTCCAGGACCAAGAACAAATTAGATGGTTTTGGCATAATGACAGCAGAAGACACTGACACTACAACCACGATGAGTAACCCGACCCCGTCCAGCGCCCAGCCTGCCGGCCACGCCCACCACCAGCCAGTCCCTGTGCCTGAGAGCGTGGCTGGGGCTGTCAACGAGAGCTCCCTGTTAGCCTTAATGGAGCGCACCGGCTACAGCATGGTCCAGGAGAATGGTCAGCGCAAGTACGGACCACCGCCCGGGTGGGAGGGCCCCTTGCCCCCAAGGGGCTGCGAGATTTTTGTAGGCAAGATCCCACGGGACGTGTACGAGGACGAGCTGGTCCCCGTGTTCGAGATGGTGGGTCGGATCTACGAGATGCGCCTGATGATGGACTTCGACGGGAAGAATCGCGGCTACGCCTTCGTGACGTACACGCAGAAGCACGAGGCCAAGCGGGCCGTGCGGGAGCTCAACAACTACGAGATCCGGCCCGGACGCCTGCTGGGCGTCTGCAGCAGTGTGGACAACTGCCGCCTCTTCATCGGGGGCATCCCCAAGACCAAGAAGCGCGAAGAGATCTTGGAGGAGGTCTCCAAGGTGACGGACGGGGTTCTGGACGTCATCGTGTACGCCAGCGCCGCCGACAAGATGAAGAACCGCGGGTTCGCCTTTGTGGAGTACGAGAGTCACCGGGCGGCTGCCATGGCTCGCCGAAAACTCATGCCCGGCCGGATCCAGCTGTGGGGCCACCAGATCGCCGTCGACTGGGCCGAGCCGGAGATCGACGTGGACGAGGATGTCATGGAGACCGTCAAGATCCTGTACGTGCGCAACCTCATGATCGAGACGTCCGAGGACACGCTGCGCAAGATCTTCAGCCAGTTCAACCCGGGTTGCGTGGAGCGCGTCAAGAAGATCCGCGACTACGCCTTCGTGCACTTCACCAGCCGCGATGATGCCGTCCTCGCCATGGATCATCTCAACGGCTCTGAAATAGAAGGCTCCTGCATAGAGGTGACGCTAGCCAAGCCTGTGGACAAGGAGCAGTACACGCGCTACCAAAAGGCGGCCAAGGGGGCGGCACCCATTCCTGAGACCACCCAGACCAGCTATGTTTACCAGTGCGACCCTTACACGCTGACCTACTATGGATATCCCTACAATGCACTGATAGGACCCAACAGGGACTACTTTGTGAAAGGTTAGATTTCTCTTGTTAAGTACGGGTTCTGTTGCTGGACTGGTCTTCTCTCATTAACCGGCTTTGCTCATCTTCTGCTGACTGTTTAACTATGATTACGTACTGATGAAAGTTAGCTACTGCATGTCGTAAACTTCTATTCGATCAGAGCATTTACCGAAATTCCAATATCAGTTATTAATATCGCACTTGTCAAATGATTCGAATCAATCAGCTACAGGAGCAGAATATGTCATTTAAGATCCATTCTCCTGGATTTCTAAGTTCCCATTGCACAAGATTCCTGTCTTGTCATTGCCCACATTGTTGGATGTTTTGGCTAAGTTATGATTAGGATTTAGCATCTTTAGTGCCTTTTTACAGTATCTTCTGATATGGAATATGGAAAAATGTTCTGAGGGCAGAATGAAAAATGGTTATCTCTCTGAAGCAATCCAAGGTCCAAGCAACTACGGGAAGCAGGGCCGAGACGTCTGATTGGTGGGTCCCACCTCCTCTAGTTCCTTGGACCCACCTCCTTTACAATCCGATTGGTTATCGCTCTGAACCAATCATTTTTTATTCTCCCCCAGAACATTTTGTGTAAGTAAAACTACCATAAGCATGATTTTAGTGTTAATGATCATTAATTTCATAGTGAAATGTGCCGTGAAATCATGGCCTTGTCCTTGAGCCTTCCATCAGTCCAGTGGATTTACAGGGTCCAGCATTCCAGGGAAATTGGGACAGTAGAACTTTCTGGCAGGAATTAGCACATGAGAGTGGAATCAGCTGAACGAGCTTTACTGTGCCGCTCAGAAAGGACGTGTCATGTGACCAGGACCCCCCCCCCACAATTATCTCATTATTATTTCAAGCAGGTACCATAAGAGGCCGGGGGCGCACGATCACTGGGAGTAGGGCCCCAGGGTCACGGGGCTCCTACCTGGGGGGGTATTCAGCTGGGAGAGGCATCTACAGCCGATACCATGAGGGGAAAGCCAAGCAGCAGGAGAAGCCATACGA